CAATAGCAGTTTCACTTAAGTGCTCAATAAATGTGCACCCTAATGACCTTCTAAGGTCCTCCTACAAATGAGGAAAACGACTTGTTAAGGGTTACTAAGGTGATCAAATGTGACCGAGCATCTGATAGGTTCTGGCCCTAGTATGAATTGTTAAATCATTACAGTGGTCATCTAATATGGCTGAAGCCTTTAAAACAAAAGCCCATCTTCCCCAAGACCACCTCCCAACTTCTCCAACTCAGCCCGAGGTACAGTTTCCTTTCACCCTTCCTTCCACCTCAGGGAAGACCCCCCCCCCATCAGCTCCTCAGGTGTATCTAAACATCCCCTCCAAACTCCACCCCTGGCAAAGGCCATAAAAGCCTCAGCCTCCCTTTGTTCCAGTCAAGAGAATTTCTCATCTTCCCCACATTCTCTCCATGTCCTCAAAGATAATGAAGCCCTTTTCCCTTTTTCCTTCTGCCTGTTTCTCTGCTGCTCAGAGTACCTGAAAAAACTTATCAGCATCAAAGCTTCAAGTCTGCAAGCCTGTCCAGTTATAATATATGGTATCAAACACAAAAGACAGTCATCTATATTCTCTGAAAATAATAAAAGGGAGCATAACAAAAAAAATCAAAACATGCAATTGAATAAAAGGCATATTATAATTCTTTCACCTTCAATTTTTTTAAAGAACCTCTTTTTTAAAATGTTTTAATCCTGCTGGGAGTGGTGGTGCATATCTGTAATCCCAGCATGTGGGAGGCTGAGGCAGGAGAATCATTGTATTTTTTTTTATGCATTTGGTACAGGACCTCACTAGGCACCTTGACTCCCGTTTTTACCCTCCCCAGCATTGGGATCAAAGGTGTGCCCCACCATACCTGGTCTCAGTGGCTGGTTGAGTGCGCCCAGAGGCAGGGCCGGGGTGGCATTTGGTGCCCACAATCGAACCCTGGTCCCTGTGCTTGCATAAGCAAACACTTAGTCCACTGAGCTATTTTGCTGGCCCAAAAAATAAAGTTTTAATCCTAAATAATATGTAAATTTTCTTTTTTAAATAAAGGATCATTTTCTGTAGGACAATAACAAATGTGAAGTTAATTTAGAAGGCTTCTTCATCCTAAAGACCATTTCAAAAATAGAAAATCAAGGAAGTACAGCATCTTGAGCACTGCTCAACATAGCAAGCATGTCCACACGGTACCACAGCAAACCCTCCCAACAGCGCAGCCAGGTCCGAACCCACATCAGTACTCTACAGATGGAGAATCTGTGGCCCAGGAAGAAAAGTCACTTACCCGGACACCCACCAATACTCACCTCTCCCAGAGGAGGACCCAGCTGTGCATCAAGCCCAGCTGTGCATCTGGAGCCCTAGCTTTCTTTAGAACAACATGGATAAAACTCAGGCTTCCTACTCCCTTAGTTTTAGGTGTGCATCCAACAGAGCAAGTGAGGAAGGTGCCACCATTTTTGAGGATGTCCCAGTAGTGGTTCTTTTTAACCAAACCACTTCTCAAAGAAGTCAGCAATAAACATGGCCATAAATAAGCCCCGCTGAATTCATACCCAATTCACAGCTCCAAGCTAGTCTGGATGAGTGTTATTTTTGTGCAAAAAGAAGTTTTAAAAAACAAGAACTCGGAGTCAGGTTCAGGTGAGGGGCACCCCTACCCTTGGAGCTGCCCAGTCAGCAGCAGATGACTCCAGGCTAGCACACCCTTTCAGGAGTTTCAGCCAAGGGAAAATTAGTTCCTCCTATCTGTTTCATCTTTTTTAAGTGTGTGATTCCATGCATTAAGTCCCTTCACACTGTACAACAGCCACCATCACCCATCTTCCAAATTTCTCTCTCCACCTGAAACTCCACACCCTTAAGCAACAGTTTCCCATTGCCCCTAGCTCCAGCCCCTACTGGGCAACGTGCACTCTACTTTCTGCCACTGTGAATACGGTCCCCATACTGCATCTAAGCGGAACCACACAATACCTGACCTCTGGGGACTGGCTTATGTCTCTTAGCATCACGCCCGTTCTCTTATTCCCAATTCCTCTCCTTGTGGAAACACAATCCTGAATGTACATCCTTTAGATGAAACAGAAATGAATGAATGACTTTCCCCTTTTATGCAAGGTTATCAGGATACAAAAGCACTAAAGAAGCTTACAGAAGAAGACAGAAAGCCACAGGAATGGTGTGGCTACGTTGATTCCCAAGGAATCACTGTCTTCCTATGTATCCATCTTCTCCTAACGTATGCAAACCAAGTTTACATCCTCACTTCACACTGCAGCATTCAAGGGTAGCATCACATTCTTGACTTTAACCACCTCTTAAAATGATGCATTGCCAAGCCTTCCAAAATTACCTTTCAAAATCAACACTAAGGAAAACTAAAGTTGCTTTAATGAAAATCTGTATGCCCTAAATTCTCCTATCATATCTGTAAGGAAAAAGTGCCTGAGGTGTCACTCTGATAGAAAGTGCTCCTGGTGAGATGGCCCTGTATTAAGAGTCGGTGCTACAGAAAGAATATAATGCTTTCACAAATGTTCATACAGAAAGAAATGCTAAGGCAAATGTTACATAAACTCTGACACAGCCATCTATCCCACTATTACCCCTCAATAGAAAACAACACAACAGCTTCTAATGAAAATCCTGTTTTCTTTACAGGAAATAAAGATAATAATGCCACAAATCAACATTCTCCTCTGCTTTGGGCTTTTTTGTTTTTTATTGTTTTTTTCTTGCACTCCACATGTTCTCAGAATCAAGAGGGGAAAAAAGATAAAAATTCAATGAGACACATCGTATTTTTGTTTCATGCATCTACTTGGAGCTTGTAAAAATAACAGCAGGATCTAGTGCTTGTAAAGGAAAATGATTTAAATTAAAATAAAACTCAAGTCAGCAGGAGATGACTTTGATCATGAGACAATGATACTTAAGTTGACAGAATGCAAGACTTCCTTTATTTATTTTAGTAGAAATAACCTCAAGTTCTGGAAAAAGACATTTTTAGAAAATGACACTGACCCAATTGCTAAGTCTCATGAAGAAGAGCAATGAGTGTGAATTGTGTTGCACCACTGCTCACATATTTTCTGCTTAAATTGCTGGAATTCCTTTTACCTGAATGTAGGCCATTTTGTCTTCTGGACGTGGAGACCCTGCCCCTAGGAACAGTATCGAACATCTTATGCCAGGGTTCCCATCACTTTGGAAAGAGTACAAACAGTATAAAAACAGGGTATTTCAACCAGGGGGATCCAAAAGCACCAGCCACTCTATATTTGAGGCCCACATTCCTAAAACTACAAGGAACCTCCAGGGGCCCCTCCAAGGTCTGGAACCTGAACATCCCTTGCACACACAGTTGCCTGAGCCACGTCATCTTCCCAAAGCTCCTTTCACCCTCTTCGCAGGCAAGTCACCCCCACCCATCTGGGAAATGCCCCAAGATTGAGAGATAGCAGCAAGGAAGGGGCTTCTCCACAGCCCTGATAACTGGGCCAAATGCTCTTTTGCTTTCTCATCTATTCTTTCTTTAACAAATTTTATTTTCAAAGAGACTCATTCTGGGCTGTCTTGTAAATGAAAATTTTCAGTGAGTTCGGCCCACCTTGTCCTTCTCCTAGCTTGCTGGGCCGTACAAGACCCACAAGGATTTTGGAGAACAAATCTTTTCTCACAGACAGACCTGCGCAACATGCGCTAACTTCAGGAAGAACTAAAACCTAAACCACAGGTCAGCCCAAAGTAAACCTAAAAGCCCATACATTAATTGTGATTAATATCCCAACACATCAGCGAAACACCAGAACGGCATTAACCAATTCTGACCACAAATGGCTTTGCATTTCTCTCAAACCTAATGGTCATTATTAGCAAATTCAAAAGGTCTCTTGTCTTTCCCCTGCCATCAGGGTTAGCTGACATCCAAAGCAATGTCTGGATAACCTAAAGAGGAGAGACTGAAGCTATAATATGAATAATTCAGGTCCAAAATCACTGTTAAGTAAAGCTAAAGCAACCTGTAGAAACACTAAGCCCCACATGACACTAGTTCAGTGACGGTGAACCTTTCAGAGCTTTCAGTGATACAAATAGCCCACCAGGCTCGACACAGCTGCCCTGGAATCAGATCCTCCCTGTGCACAGCACATAAGCAAAGACTCCTTGGGCTCTAAACACCATTTATCACCAGGACCAAACCACTGAAAAGGTTGTGCACAGGGCCTAAGAAAAACTAACATGAGAAGCTGAAAGAATGGGCAATGATCAGACACTGTCCTGGGTGTAATTCGCACCAGGAACATTTTAAGTGTGGTCTCCAGACTAGCATCATCGTCATCATCACCACCACCACCAGCACCTAGGAAACTACTAGAAATGCGTATTGCCACCAGCCAAGGGCATCAGAAACTGGGGCCTCCCAAGACAACTGTTCCCCAGTGCCTCTAATGCATACTGAGGTAGACAATGATTAGGCTACCGTCTAAAGAAGGAGCAAAAGTCAGGCAGATACAAAACAGGTAGTAGGCACAAGTGCAAGTGATAGGAACTAAAGATAAATGCCCAGAGCCAGAGGAAACTTAGCATGCTGTAAGAAGAGTGGGGCACAAGCCCAGGGCGTAAGATGCAAAGCAGATCATGACAGTATCAGGAGTAGTACCAAGGGGCAGAGATGTCACCCTGAGGACAATAAGGAGCCTCTGAGGGAAGGGATGGGCGAGCCCTGACCTGCAGAGGGCTACAGATCACCTTGGATGCGATGCAGAAAAGAAACAGAAAGTCACCATGGTGAAGGTAACTGCATAATGTGCAGTGAAGTGACAGCAGTGAGAAGGAAAGCAGGGGCATGCTGCCGGGAAGGGCAGGGCTCCACACAGAGCAAGAGCAGCAGGGTGCCTGGGGCCACTGCAGCAATGCTGGGGTCAGACACAGGCGCAGTAGAGACAGGCAGAGCACTGCTCCTGCCTCACCCAAGCCTTGTGGGCACAGCTTCTACCTCAGCAGGGGCAGGTGTTTGCCAGGGAGCAGTGAGGACTTCTCCTCGACACAGTGCGTGGCAATCTTTCTATCGCTGTCAGCAGTTCTCTCTAGAGCCAGAGCTCGGAGCAGGCAGTGACATCCTGGTCAGTTTCCATGTGTAGCATCTGGAACAGTGCCCAGCTATTGGGAAGTCCAACTGAATGAAGACAGCAGGACAAGCCAGGAGGCCACTGGAGGCCACTGCTCTCATTCAGGAGACAGGCGACAGTGTCTGTGTGAAGGAATTAGGAAAACAAAGCAAAGTGAACTTCTTAATTTCTCTTGAGTCTGTCAACACCACCCAATACACTGGATGGAACTTTCCAAGTCAAGTATGTCATGAAAAGTTAACAGTCAATTTGAACTGCTGAATAGTTTCCACAAAACCTTATCTCCACGTGGAATGTCAGAAAGGACCAGAGTAAACACCTTAACATATGAAAATAAGAGAGTGCTAGGCCACAGAGAGACTGCCACCTAACCAAGATGACAAGGTGGCCTTCTGTTGCTTTTGGAATAACTGCAAAGCCTCAAAGTAGAGGATGGAGACGTTTCAAATCTCACTGACATCGTCTACATCTTTGCTTTGATTTTTAGAAATGATTCCTGGCAGGCAGTTAATGTTGTGACCCAATTACAGGGTATTTTGGAAGTAGCAGGCACCTAAATGGCAGCGGAGCTGGTAGGCGTCGAGGGAAGAGCGAGTTGCAAGCAGGCACCACCACCTGCCTCTCAGCCCTGAGTTTCATAGAGGGGGGAGTGTGGTGATCAGGAAGGCCTGCAACATCTTCCCTGACCTGCTTCCCACTTCCTCATCATTCCTGAAATAGAGCTAAGGAAAATCATAAATACTGTTCTCAGTCCTCTAGCGAAGGGCATAAATTTGGGTCTCTGGACAACAAAAGATGAAAGGCACAGCTATTGAAAACCCTAGAAGCAAGAGGTGGGAACAGTGGGAAAATAAAACCACTGGACACAAAGGAACCTGAGAAACACCAAAACAGTAGCCAGTTCTTACACCCAAGTACACTGAGAGGAGGAGCTTCAAGCTCAGCTGCCCTGGATTCTCCAAACTCAAATTCTGCAGCTCAAAAGGCAAATTGTTTCTTTAAAACTAAAGACAGTAATGATGGTTAAGGTCTTGCTTCATGCCAAATATTGTCATGTGCCTTTATCATGTGTTAACTCATTAAATACAACTACCATATATTGCAGGCACTATTAGCATTCCTATTTGCTGATAAGGAAATTGAGACTGTGTCGTTCTGTTGTCCAAGTAGAATTCTATGATTTCTGGTCAGCTGCAACTATTAATTGCAGGGCGGTATTACAACCTGAAGAATCTGGTCTTTTTTTGAGGGGCTGGGGTACTGAGAATTGAACTGAGACATGAATCTTGCCAGGCAGGCTGTACCACTAAGCTATATCCCTGACCCTAAGAATCTGGTCCTTGGCTGCCAAAGGCGTGTACCTCCAGACAGGGTTATTGTGTGTGTACACCGTAGGATGTTTCACAGCATCCTTGGTACCCATCTGTAGTTACCAGCAGTTATCTCTCCCAGTCATGACAAAGTACCTCTAGGCATTGCCAAGTAAGCCCTGAAGGACAAAGCTGCCCCTTTTCACCAGCACTAAAGAGATCTAAAAACCAAATCCCTAAACTCTCATTGAATTCATGGAAAATCCCTACTGTTAAGTAGGAGGAACAGGCTACAAGAATTCCACTGAGTCAGGAAGGATGAAGAAAAGAGACACTGGAGGGCTTTCTGCAGTGGGGATTTTGCTCTCAAGTCAGCTGCTATGACTCCGTACCTCCATGAAGCCTCCCTACTCTTGCAGAGCAAGCTCAGCTCTCTTCCTCTCCTCTCACAAGGCCTCACCTACGGGCCTCTACTGCAGCTCTTCAGCACCTCCACTGCACCTCTGGCACCTTTCCATCTTCCTGGACTTGACACAGTGCCTGGCATAAATTATATACTCAAGAAACATTTGTTGAACAAAAGAATGAACAAATGAGGGGCTGGCCAGATAGCTCAGCGGATTAAAGCACCTGTTTCGACAGATACAGGGACTGGGTTTGATTCCTGGCCTGCAGTGCCTGCCGTGCCCCCAGAGCATACTGAGAGGGCGATGAGACTGGGGATGGTGGCACGCACCTGTTTTCCCACAGATTAGGAGGCTGAAAACAGGAGGATCACCTTCTGTTTTATGTGAGTCCTATCTGTGTAGTGAGACCCAATAGACCCTGTACTAAACACATTAAAAAAAAAAAAATTAACAAATAAGGCTGAAGCTACTGGTTGCCATCAAATGAACGTCTCTGCTCATTAATGACCTAGAAAAAGCATGGATAAAACTCAGCTCCCGGGGAAGGTAAGAGGGTTCTGTTCAGATGACTAGAAGATTCTGAGGCTGCCTAAGTGCTACCCAAGTATCTACACACCTCTGAGTCCACTGAGAGTTCTGATCATGCCTCAGCTCTGTCTACAACTTTAACTGTAAAATGAATCAACTCAAACAAAACAAAAAACCCTAACTCATGGTAAGGAAATTCTAATTTACTTGCTTCTATCCACAAACAGGACTGCTGCCAAATTTTCAATATCACAGATCAATTGACTAGAGAAACTGAATAAGGATCTGAAGGTGAAAACACAGCACACAGCAAAGAGCAAACAGGAGGCTCCCAGGAAGACGCCCCAGCATCCAGCCTGGCAGGGTCCCCTCTCCAGACCCAACACAAGTGTCACCAGGAAGATGTCTCAAGCCAGCCAAAGGCTGCTGGAGAGGCCCTGTCAGCCTCAGCAGCAGCCTCTGTTGCCCAACACTGCACTACAATTAGCATGTGACAGCTAATCAGACTCCACTGTTTTATGACAGAATGGTTCTAGAGTCTACCCAGAGAGATTCAACAGAGCAATTCTTAGTTTCAGGCATATCGGTAAATTTTTTTTGGATCCCGCAATTCAACTTGTGTTCAAATTAAAAATATACATCAGGGCCACAATGTAGAGGAAAAGAGATCCACCAGTAAATAAGAAAATGCAGGTTAAATGCTTAGTTTAGAAATGGACAAAGGTGTATTTTTCACCTTTTCCCCAAATGCTGAATTTAAGAAAGTGCATAGAAATAACGAGGCTACATGTTTAAGGCCTGGGTAAGTCTTGTAACTTCTGAGCCACAGCTTGTTCCCTTACCTACAAAATGAGAAATTAAAGGCACTGATGTGCTTCTTGCTTGGTACCACGCACATAGTTGGTACTTAATTAAAAAAATGTTATTTCTTTATTCTGCCAGTTGCCTAGCAACCCATGGGCTCCTCAGTATTGATGACAGTTTAGGGACAAGGACTGTTATTCTCAATGCTACCTTAGTGAAAAAAGTTTTAGTTTTTTTTTCTCTAAAATAGGAACAGTATCAGCTTTAAGTTCTTATCATGAAGTAATTGTTCTACAATATTATTAATATTATGATCAATGAAATATGGATTCAACTAAGCTCAGATTTCTGAAGTATTATCAGAAAACACATTATTTACTTTCCTATACTATTACCTAAAACTCAGAAACAATTGCTTTCTTTCTTCACTTTTTCTCCGTCCTCTAAAGCAACCAAAACTAAGGGTAAGCAGCAGCTGTTCCAGCGCAAACCCTTTTGAGCTTCTTCCAGCCACTCCAGGCTCACACTGCAGGGCAGAGCCCAGGCCAGGCTAGCTATTGCACAACACTTGGTCCTAGGGCTCTGAGCACAAGAGCATTTCCTAGAAGCACAGCTCTGAACTGCTGAAGTGTGCTGCTTTGGCAGAAAGAAGCCTGCATACAGAGAATGCCAAGATAAGTCTCCAAGCCTGCCTGCTGAAATTCGCCTTTCTGTCCTTTGCCCTGTCTGCTCTCTCAGATCCCCTTTTTCATCTTGGCACTTTTGTCATCCTTAGGCTATAACTCAAAAATACTCTTTCCCAGGGCACTTTCCAAATGAGCTCCCTCGCAGCTCCTGGGGCTCTGAGTCTCTCCCCACGACTCCACATTCCTGGAAGGCTCAGGGTCCATCAGCCCACCCACGAGCTCCACACTTTGGCCTGAGCTCCAGCGCTCAACTCAACCCCACAGGCAGGCTCTCTGCAGCTAAGGCCCAGATTCTCAGACTTACCAATTTCATGGACCATTAAGCTGCCAAATGAAAATATTCCCATCACTTCATAAAAGAACCTTCCAAGAATCAGATAGGTATAATCTCATGAAAAAGGAAACATCTTTGTATTTGAACTCTAATGAAATAGTCTATTACCATCATTATCACTGTGGTCAGGACAATGAACACTTCAATGGGCAACGGCCCTGAGGCACAGCACTGTGCTTTTCGCATAACTTTTACCTATGTAGAGTGACTAGTTACTTCTTACACTATGTGGAAATTAAGATCTGATGTATAGGACAGCAATTTTAGGAATGCCACAATGCCAAGCCTGCCTTCTTCAACAACTCCCCTTTACTCTGCGGAACTCTGGAAATTCTCTCCAATCTCATTCTCTGGAATGTATACTTTTCTTTTTAGCTGAGTTCCAAAGCTCTAGTTTTTTAGTTAAAACAAACCCCCCCCCCAAAAAAAAAGAAAGAAAAAAAATCACTCTTCCTCCCACCCCAAGCATTCCTGAAGCACACTTGCCAGTAGAATGCTACTTCAAAAACTTCAGGTATTGTCTGGCAGACAAAATTTTGCAAGTTTCAAAAAGAGGAAAAGGACAAAAATGGCTAATTTTAGTTACAGCCTGAAATTGGTTCCCTTACAATCCCTGGCCAGACATTAACACCAAACAACAGCTCTAATCTATATACCCATACTATCCACTTTTTCCACGTTCTCTTGTCTTTGTCCCTATGAATCTATATATTCTATGTATCAATAAATGATACAATGGGATTCCTTCTAATTATAAAAATAAGGGCGAACTGATAGCTCAATGGACTAAAGCACCTGCTTAGGCAGAGCGCAGCGGCCAGGCTTCAATCCTAGTGCACCATGCTGGCCCAGCCTACAGAGCACACCAAGAGGGCAATTGAGACTGGGAGTGGTGGCGTGCCTGTAATCCACAGCCTGGGAGGCTGAAAATAGGAGAATCACACGAGCCTGATCTATGTAGTGAGACCCTGTAGACCCAGTAGACCCTGTCCTAAATACAGAAAAAAAAATTCATAAAAGTAATATAAGTCCATTA